TGTGGGTGTGTTTGTTAGAGGGTGCCGGCCACGCCTCACAGAAGGCTGAGACCTCCCACACAGCCCTGGGGACCAGGCCTGCTCGGGCCTCTTACTGACCCGGGGAGCTGCCTGCCTTTCTGGAGCTCAGTTTCCTTCCTGGGCAAGAAGCTGGCAGTTCCCAGCAGTAGTCTTGGGGTTAACAGATGAGTGGTATGCCTGTGCCAGTCCCTGGGCTGTGGAAAGCGCAAGGGTGTTGGAGATGGCTGGGCCTGACCTTCCCTACTTCGAGCTGGGCCTTCAGCAGCACAGCGTCTCTCTCAGAGTGCTGGTTTCTTCTCACAAAATGGGGATAGTAATTCTCCCTCTCCAGGTTCTTTCAAGCCTTAAAGAGTCTTCAAATCTTCAGCCGGTTGCAGTCCAATGTCATGAGTCTGGCCATAACTTTGACCCGTTTTCTTTAAATTGGCTCTTTTTTGAAACATAAACACCAGTTTTGGCTTCGTTCTGAACAGTAGGCTCATGGTCTGTATGTTGGTATATTTTTCTCTAAAGGCGGTAGAATGAATAAGAATGTTTGTGCCCTCACCTCCGCTTTCATGGCCTACTAGGGGAATTTGTACCAATTTCGGTAAATACTGAAATGAGGGGTCTAAGGGAAGGTGCCTGGCACACAGTAGCTACTCAGGAAATTTGAGTGTCCTTGTGCTTGTGTGTGTGTGTGTGTGTGTGTGTGTGTGTGTGTGGCAGTGGGTGAGGGGAAGCAAGGCAGGATTTCCACATGGGAAGGGCTTTGGGCAGTGACTTGATGAGTTAGGGGGCCAGAAGCAGGGACTTGTCCAAACCTGGATTTGCAGAGCAAGAACATTGCCTAAAATGTTTGCTTAGTTGAGGTGGCCTGGAGAAGGCTGATGGAGATAATGGGACCAGTCTCCCAGGCCATCTTAGCTGCTGAGTCCTGCTGGGGGTGGAGGGGTGCCTAGCCTGGCTCCCAGGTGCCATCCACTCTTTCTCCCAGGCCAAAGACGATGACTCAGGGAACAACGGGGCCATCCTGTTCTCCATCTTCCAAGTGGATTTCATCGCCAAGGATGGGACCACGACCCCTTTCCAGGGCTTCTTCCGGGTCTCCACCTCATTGGAGGCCAATGTGTTCATTGGCAACATTGAGTAACTGTGGGCAGCCCCTGGATGGGGGGGGGGGGACCCAAGGGAGGGCCTCAAGACAGTGAGTTCCTCATCCTAGCAGGTACATAAGTAGGTTCCAGAGGACTTCAGTTGGGTCCCAAGACCAAGCTGTGCTCTTCCATCTCCAATAGGCTGGTGACCAACCTCGATTCCACCCTCCAAGGCACCTACCAAGTGACAGTCGAGGCCCGGGACAGACCTTCTGTGGGTCCTGCTCAGGAAGCCATTATCACCCTGAATGTGAGTGTTTGGCCCTGCCTCTAGTACCCTCTGCCTGCTCCCAGGTCCCTCGTGCCTCATCTTCACCATGCCTTCCTCCTGTAGCTCTTCACTGTGGACCAAAGTTACCGTGTAAGGTTGCAGTTCTCCATGAACAAGGAGGAGGTGGGCGCCAACATGGAAGAGATTACAGCGTAGGTCTGGGGCATCCAGAGGGGCCTGTGGGGAAGAACAGGGCCTGGGAGTCTGATCCCTGACAGGACCTGGATGGAATGTATGTCGATTCTGTCCCTGACCTACCCCTGATTTTGTCTCTGTCTCTGATCCAGTACTTGTACCTGCAGTTCCTTTCTCAATGCTCCTAGAAGCCTAGGGTTGGCTGGGTAGAGAGAGGCCTAAATAGGGCCGCCATGTACAGTTGTGAAGGCTGTGCACTGCACAAGGGCATTCTGCTTGCTAAGTCATAAACCCAGCCCCAAAGGAAGGGGCTGCCTTGCCTGATTTGCAGAGGTGTTACCTGCTTAGCCAATGAAGCTGTCCAGAGAGGGTGCCCCTTTCTAATTAACACAATTCCTAATTCCACTGGCCACAGGCTGTACTAGGGCCCCTACCCCATGCCTCTGCGACATCTTCCCCCTTTGCAGGGCCCTCATTCAGGCCACCAGGACTACTGTCTACGTTGTGAGCATTCAGGACATAGAATCCATGACTCGGTGAGTGCCCACAGTCCCAGTGGTTGGAGGACAAGAAGCAGCAGTATGAGGGACCTGCTGGGTGGTTCTGGGTTGTTTACTTTTCATCCCTGCCCCATTCCAGGGCCCGGGGCCGTTCCTACCTCGATGCCTATTTTGTCTTCTCGAATGGGTCTGCCCTGACACTTGATGAGCTGAGTGTGTGAGTGGGGCTGCCCTTGGGGTGGGCAGGAGGGTGAGCAGGAAGCCTGGGGGATGCCAATGTCCCTCGGGCCTGAGTGGGGCTCTGTGGCCAGGATGATCCGGAATGACCAGGACTCCCTGACGCGGCTGCTGCAGCTGGGGCTGGTGGTGCTGGTGAGTGTCAGCATGGTGGAGGTAATGGGGGCATTGGGAGGGGGAATGTCAACCCACAACCTCCCTCATGCTTCTTCTCCAGGGCTCCCAGGAGAGCCAGGAGTCAGACCTGCCAAAGCTGCTCAGCAGTGTCATCATAGGATTGGGAGTGGCTTTGCTGCTGGTCATCGTGATCATGACTGTGGCCCTTGTGTGCACCCGGAAGAGGTATTGCTCCCATCACCCCTTCCGTCTTCAACCCCACCTTTCCCACCATCTAAGACATATGGTGGGTAGAAAGAGCTTGGGTGTAGGCATCTGGTATACCTGTATTTAATCCCCAGAGACCTGTCGTGACAACTTGGACAGCTCATCTCTCCCTCCCTAAGCCTCAGTTTCCGCATCTGCAGAATGAGCACAACACTAGATTCCTCAAAGCACACAAGGAAGCAGTGTGCATCTTGCAACCAGCAGGATGTCTGGCACATACTATCCATTTATAAATACTGCTTCTTTTCCCCTTTCCAATATATTTGGAGGCAGCAGCCACCTCTGGATTTGACTCCAGGTCTTGTCACTGGCCAGCTGTGGCCTTTGGCAAATCATATCCTATCTCTGGCTCCTACTTGTACCCTCCGTACATAGAGCTAACACTCTCACCTGCCAGGGTTGTTGTGAAGTCACACTCGCAGGGCCTGCACTAGGCACACAGTGGGTGTGCAGGGAGAGTAGCGCCCCACCTCCTCCTGGTTCTCCACAGCTACCACCGAAAGCTTTGGGCTATGAAGGCTGCCAAAGAGGCCCGGAGGACAGCAGCAGGGGTGATGCCCTCAGCTTCTGCCATCCCTGGGACTAACATGTATACCACTGAGCGGTGAGCGGGGGTCAAAGGGTGGGTAAGAGGCCCCGTGCGGTGTCTGAGGCTCCCAACTGCTTAAACAGGCCTTCTCTCCAGGGCCAACCCTATGCTGAACCTCCCCACAAAGGATCTGAACTTCGAGTCCCTATCCTCCTCCAGTGACCTAGACCACATGAGGTGAGCAGTGGCCCGCACAGCCAGGCTGGTCGGTGGTGGTGGTGATGGAGGCAATGGTGGTTCTTGGCCACAGACAGGGAGGACTGGGGCTGCTAACTATGTGAGCCCCACCATCTCCCCCACAGCCTCAATTCCCTGGATGACAACTCTGTGGACCTGGAAAAGGACAAGCAGAAAACCAAGGCAAGATGGGGGATGAGTGGGTGCCTGGGGCTTCTGACTTGGGGTCCTTCTCTGAAGGGGTGGGGTTCAGGACAGAGCTGAAGGACCTGCTGATGACATGGGCATGTCCCTGCGCCAGGCCCCGGGAAGCCCCATGGCTTCGGAATGGGGTCCAATCCTTGCTCTTCTACTCATTCGCCGTGACTCTGGGTGGGCGGCTTCCTTCTAGCTCTCAGTTTTCTCATCTGTAAATGGGGATGAGAACACTAACCATGCAGGGCTTTGTGAGGATGAAGTTTGAGTAGGTATAAAAAACCACCTGGCATGACACAAGTGCTAAAAAACCTGGTTCCCTCTGTTCATACCCTTTATATGAAAGCTGGCAGGGTGTAGGCTCGAATAATCAGCAGTGCCATCATTTGTTCAATAGACGAGTTGGTTCAATTAGAACCAATTAGGGAGTGCGTGCCATAATGAACTGCAGGTGGGACCCCGGGTGGGCTGTGTCCCTCTGACTGTGGCAGAAGGAGATGCCAAATTCAACCAGAGGCAGCGATGAACAGGCTTTAGAGTCAAAACAACCAGTGATCCAAACCCTGCTCTGCCTCTTCCTGGCCATGCGATCCCTCTGAGCCTCAGCCATCTGTAAAGCGGGGTACGTGATCCCTCCCCCAGGGGGCTCCTGTGGGGACTTTAGGTCACGGACGGACTGTGCCCAGCACGGTGGCCTGCCTTGGGATGCAGGTGGCAGGTAGTGGACAGGACTGGCTCCTCGGCCCAGGACACAGGGCCTGGTGTTATTCAGGACTGGGAAGAACACCAAAGTGCTCCTCTGCCCGTGGATTGGGGCAAAGGCCAGAACAGACCCCCTTCAGGCCCACCCCTTCACCTGAGTGTGTCTGCACCACTAGGGGCTGTCGCCACCTCTGGGACACAGCCAGGAAACTGAGGCCCGAGGAGGAACAGGCGGGACCCCTGTAAAGGAGCCACCTGTCGTGGGCTTGAAGGCCCACTCCGCTAAGGACTGAGGAAATCACCCCATCTTGTCTCTGCCTTCACACCTTCCCTCCTTCTCCCCACAGAAGGAGCCCCTACACAGTCCAGTGGAGCTAGATACGGAACCCCTGGGTGCAGTGCTGTCAGGAAGGAAGGTGGACACAGATGGACAGCAGGAGCTCTCCTTCACCAATGCTGGCCTGGACACCACAGACCTGTGATGTCGTTGCCACAGGACCCAGGCTGCAGAACCCCACATGGCCCCCGCTCTTCCGTTGCACCTTGGAAGAGGTCTTGTCACTCCCAAATGACACCTACCCCTCCCCGAACACAACAATATATCTTGCTGCTCTGCCCCCCTTCTGCCTGTAGCCAATCACAGCTGACAACAGTTGGGGGAAATTTTTATTACCAATGTATATTGTGACAGTTTGTAGCCAAAAACTGTGGCTGGAGGGGTGGGGGGAAACGGGTATTGAGTGATCACAAGGGACTCGTGGGGCTCACAGCACAGGGGGGACGAGGGGTGGGAGAGGGCAGCCTTGAGAGGACAACTGGGGTTGTAGAATGAGCTCTCCGTCCTGCCCCCAATACCCAAGACCAGCTGTCAGGCTGCCTGGGACCCAAGACCTTCCACGAGCTTCTGTCTGTGATTCCCAGACCTGTCTGAGAGCCTCTGACCTTTCTGAGACTCTTAGAACTGTGCCCCCCCCAGGGGCACCCCTGCAGCTGCCTTCCCCCTGTCAGGAATTGTGAACAAGTGTCCAGTGAGGGTGGAGATAGGGCTGGGGATGGGGCCAGGTGAGAGGGAGACAGGAATTGGGGATGACTACCAGCATGCAAGACATGCCCGGGGCCATGGGGGCCAGCCCACTGCATGGACACACACTCACGCTCTTCCAGGGGCCTCACATTTGGAGCCTTGCACACTCAGGGATCTCACACACCAATCCTTGCACACTTGGAGCTTTTGTACAGTCTCTCCTGTTCTGGGGACCGGGCGGCCACTGATGACTTCAGCCTACCAATCTGGACATCTCAGGAGCCTGCCTCAGCTCTCAGGGCTGGGCCTGCTGAGCAGGGCCCCGAGGTCACCCAGCGTGACCCGGAGGGAGTGGAGCTGAGAGCTGTAAGGGGACAGGAGGGTGGGTGTCAGGGCTGGGTTCGTGGTCTCATGACCACGAGGGGGCTGGGTAGCGAGGGTTCATTTGTGTGGCTGGCGGGGGAGGAGGCTGGAAAGAAAAGGATGAGAAGGCCCTAGAGGCTGCCCACCCCTCGTGGGCCTCCCGCCCGTCTAAGGGATCCCTTCTAGGAGCTTGGGGTCAAGAAGGGAACCTGAAAAGGTTGGAAACCCGGGCGTACGAAAGGGGAGGAGATCACTCGGCCGTGGGTCCGGCTCGGGAGCAGCACCGCGGGCGGCGCACACTCTGCAGCAGCGCGCGGAAGAGGCCAGGCGGGCGCTTGGCGGGACCCTCTGGGGGCGCGGCACGCACTGAGCCCGCACGGCCGGGGCCCGGACGGGCGGCGGGCGGCGGTGCGGGCGCCCCTTGGCGGCCGTGCTCCT